CGGCGGCGGCGGCGTGGGCGAGGAGCAGCTGCGGCGGTTCCGGGAGTGCCTGCAGGAGGCGCTGCGAGGTGAGCCGGGCGGCGGGGCGCCCCCTGCGGGCCGGGCCGCGCCGCGCTGACGCTGCCCTTTGTTCCCCGCAGAGCACTACCGGCACCACTGGTTCCCGCTGCGGCCCTCCAAGGGCTCCGGCTACCGCTGCGTGCGCATCAACCACCGCATGGACCCGCTGGTGGGCAAGGCGGCGGGCATGATCGGACTGAGCCACGAGAGACTCTTCCAGCTGCTGCCCAGCGAGCTCACGCTCTGGGTGGACCCCTTCGAGGTGTCCTACCGCATCGGCGAGGACGGCTCCATCTGCGTCCTCTACGAGAGCCCCCGGGCGGGTGGCGCGGCCCGCACGCGCGAGCGCCCCAGCGGCTGCAAGGCCGAGTGGCGGGGCGGCCGCTGCAGCCCCGCCGAGAGCTACGGCGTCATGACGGTGTCCAGCTAAGAGGCGCTCCCCCCGTGCCGCGCTGTACGTACCCCACTTGCGTGATGGACTTAGATGTAACCGAGATGTTGGTTTTTCACTCTATAGCCATTAAAGTCATAGTAGTACTGCCAAGCGCGTCGTGGCCAAGGGCTAGTGTATAAAGCGGTTCTTTAACGTCACTTTCTGGGCTGTGTCCTGTAAAATGCACTGTACAGTCGACTGGTTGTTTTACACATTTATATTTTTTCAAAGCCATTTTGGCTACTTGTAATAAAAAAAAAAAAAGCAACACTGTAGCACTCTTTATGATGGATTTTAGTCGAGCTTAACCCTTGCTCCAAAATTCCTCAGCTCACAGAGCAATAACTCAAAGAGAAGCTGGGGGGAGGACAGATCTAACATGCTGCAGTTACTAAATCTTCCCGGTGACTTGTCTGCACAGCCTTTCCTCAGGGTCGTTCACGTTTGGCTGCAAGGTACAAATCACAAAAACAACTCCTTCTCCCCACCCTCTTTCAAAGCATGATTTTTTTTCAGGGCTGAGTTGCATCATATTCCAATGTTTTGATGTAAGGAATTGACCTCTCCTTTTTCTCTCTTTTTTTTTTTTTTCCTAATATTACTGGAGCAGAATAATAAAGATGTGCTCAAACTGTTTTGACTCATTTTTTTCAAACTTTTATATTGTTGCCAAAGTGTTTTTTTTCTAATGATCACAGGTGGTGTTCTTTAAAACAATGAAGCGTTCAACTTTTGTCTTGGTTTCAGTAAAGCTTGGTAGCAACTTGCCTGATTAGAGGATGGGCTTTTTTTTTTTTTTTTTTTTTGGTGTGTGCTGTTATCAAACTGAAAGGAAACAAAAGAATTACACTATTTGATATACTGTAAAATTGTCTATCTTTTTTTAACTCTTTAGATAAATGAGTTTGTATTATGATTTCAACTTAAAACCATGGAGGGAAGCTAGAGGGGAAACACTAATCAAGTGTTAAATACAGATTTAATGTAATAATTAAACTTTATGTTGCTAGTTTATGTGGAGATTCTCTGTATTTATATTTTACTAAGAGATTCATTTAGCAGGTATTGTGGGTTCCTGTTTTTAAGGCAGAAGCTGTGGATTTTAATGGCTCTGTAGTGTCTACCATCCATGTTTTTAGTCRCCTGGTATGTGCTTGGAGTGGAAAGCTGGATGAAAGAGAGCTTTGTCTATTGTTTAGTATGTCAGTAAAAAATCTGGCAGCGTGTCTACAACATGATAAAACATAGTAAAGGGGCAAGTCTGGGCAAACAAGAAATGGTGGAACTCTAGCTCACATGGAGAGATGTTTTTGTGTGTTAGAAAAAGCCATTTTATTAATTGCTGTTTGATTAGGTCCTTTAGAGGCAGRCTTGCCTTGAAGTATTTGTTTCATCAGAGCAAAATGGATTGTGCCAGTTTTTTTGGTAATCAAAACATTGTAAAATTGATTGTGTTTTTATCTTCTCGCTCTAATAGGAACTAGCTTTCTAGGTTCATTTCAAGTAGTGGTAGAAGATTTTTACCATTTTACCATTTTACCATTTACCAAAAAAGATTTGGTAAAAGATTTTAAGACCTGTGTTTTCTCTGACAGAATAACCTACATCAAATATTTGTTTCATTAGGAAACAAATGAAAAGGATGGAAAAAGATGAATTTAAATCAGCTAAGGGAGGTACCTTCCTTGGTTAAATTTCACCTGAAGGATACCTAGCCTTCATGTCCTCTGTCTGAAGGGACGCAGTTGAGGTTTTCTGCTTAGCAGTGGGTCCTACATAGTCGTAAGCTTTGAAGAAGGTTTAGAGTTGAGTTGAGCATGGTTGCCAGACATCGGATGTGGCTTGACGTACAGACAGATGTGGGATATGGCAGCTCTTTCAGATGTTCTTTTCCTGCTGTCCATCCTGCAAGGAAGAGTGGAGCAGAGCCTTGGTGTACTTATAAATTCCCTGTTTTTTATTGGGCTATTTCATACTATATCTTGTTTCAAGTATCTTAGGTTCTTTGCAAAAGCAATATTACTTAMTCATTGAGTGACATTTTTGTCACTATTTCAAGTCCAATTTAATACATTTAAGCTACAAGTGGAGATCTCAGTTTCTGGAGATGGTCAGGTGGAGAGACTGGGGAGCCTCAAGTAAGTACACTGAAGCAAATACTTGCTTTCAGAGTAAATATGACGAATATGGGTATTAAAGACTGTTATCCATTACTTTAAAGAAATGTGGAGGATTTACTGTTGGTACAAAGGCATTTCTGACAGATTGAAACTTAGCAGCATGCTAAGGTGGCTGTTATCTGGAAGAAATATCTAAAATCCAGTTTCAGGTTTAACTGAAAGATCATGAGAGTATGGCTAGTTTCTGCTCATGGCAGAATGCAAAAATATTTAATATGATACTATGCACTTCTGACCACTTCTGATTAGCCATGGTTATTTAGCAAAGAAAGGTTAGGCTTTTGTAGGAAGATTTACCGCATGGCAGCTTTGCTGAAGTAGTAAAAATATATGGAGGACAGAGATACTTGTTTATACTCATGCCTGTTTATGTGAGGAAGAGTCAACTGTTGGATAAGGAAAGCTGCAGGAAGAAACATTTATAAAGAAGAAAGCACAGGCTGCTCTGCTTCTCCGAAACATTGCTGTGGTGTGAAGGCAGCCAAACAACCTTCTGTCTTTGTTGTGAGCTGTAAAATCCTAATGGTCCCGGCAGCTTCTGTAGCCTTATGGTTTATGTACCACAGTTCCTGCATTTCCCCTGCACCCAGATCATGTTGCTGGCAGTTAACAAATACTGCAGGGATGAGTTTTAATTGGAAAACTTGAAGAGGCAGGGGCACTGCCTGCACTTCTGGTGCTCTTTGTTGTCCATTAATTTCAGTGTTAGGTAAATTCAAATGGGAAATGAGGTAGGTTTTAGAATGTTGTGTCTAGATACTGAGGTCCTTATTTGTTTATCCTCAAGATGAAGGAGCCGTTCAGTATGGCCTCATATACTTTATGCAGTAAAACTTGCTCAACCTGTTTTTTATCTCAAGAATTGAAAAGATGGAACCTTTCAAGACTCAGCATAAATTGTTTTCTTTGACTGGGAACTACAGATGTTTTTTTGCAAGCATTCCTTCACTGTGTGTTACTRCATGTATGACAGTGTGCTCTCAGGAAGCGAGTGCAGTGAACCAGCTGATCCAGCTCACGTAAGTTCCCTTCATTATTTGCCATTCCACGAGCACTGATGATTTTAGGGTTATTTCCTCTGWTTTTGCTTTCACTGGGAGCACTGTAAAATTATTTCAGATCTAGTGCTGACATAATTATTAAATATGAACTCTTTCATTTCATCCACTTGTAATTCACTTTTACATTCTTCACTGGGTATTTTAATTTTATTTGGGATGCCACTCGATTCAGATTAAGTACCTCAGAAAAATCTAAGTCGTTTGCTGTGGTTATTCACACCAAGAGTAAAACTGAAGATTATTTGGCAGGATATCTTTTCAATAAAACCATGTTGGCTGGCATCATGATTCTGCTCCCCTCTTAATACCTAGCTACCTTATGGTGAAGTGAATGATGAAGTAAAAATATTATTAAATGCATTTTCTATCCAAGTGAGCAAATTTTCCTGCAGTTATGAGTTTGTTACTTTTCTGTATTCTATATTCTTCACACCTTTTACTATTGAGGCATTTTCTCCTTATTCCAATATGCACTAGGAATAGACATTGGGGCCCAGAGTCTCCTAAGGTTCTCGGCATTTTTCTGGACTCAGTGGTTATATGTTGCCTTATGAACTTCTAAACACAATACAGTCAAAAATACATCGCAAGGATTTGATCATTCCACTAATTCCAGGTAGTCAGAGGATGCTGCAAGAAGCAAGTTCATTGTATCCTCAAACACATAAACTTGTTTCACTTTGTGTCCTAACTTGGAAGCCACTTTTTTCTACTGGGGCTTTAAGAGGGCAACGAACTTGCCTATTGTGTATTAAGGTATGCACATATTGACCAATCTTTACAACCTACTTATTTGCAAGATAAGCTTTGTTTTGCATGCTACATGTGGATAAGGAAAATACTAATGAGTGTTCCTAAATACATAATATTTCATGCAAATTTATTGTAAATATGAATTTGATGTTTCACACTGCGTAGAGTAGTCCCATACCTATTATTTATATAGTGTCACAAGCATCAAAATGATGTTATATTTTTCTGTTGCAAAAGTGCAGTTTGAGGGTCAGATTTTCATGGAAATACAGGTAAGAGGAATGTAAAGGAATTTGAGCTTAGCCTTGACTTCTCTTTGGGAACCTGGATTGCCATGTATTGTATATGGGAAGACCATGTGGAACATGTATCATGAGATAACATTCCATGTAGTGCTCAAAATGACCTATGTCTCACCTAGAGCCTTACTTCTGAGAAATGTGGTGGCTTTTGTGGGTACACCCAGGGTTATTTAATGCAGGTCTCACTGATAGGCTGATACGAGGGCTGTAACAAGGYGTTTTGCTAGTATTTGGTAGAAAAGAGGTACAGATGTGTTGGGACTGGGTCATGTGGTGCTTTCTGCCATAGCTGGCTGAGACACTGGGATGGACAGATACTGAAATGGAAGGAATTCTGTGTTTTGACATGGACTGCGARCTGTTTTTCATGTATTTGGAGTATGCATTGGTAGGATCTCAGTCCAGAGAGCAATTAAATGTGTCCTTGGATTTAGCAGTAGTGCTGAACATTTAATTTGGACTTAAGTGTTTTACTGGMTGGGGGTTTGACTAAATAGAAATTCAGATCATGAGCTGTAAGATTTATGAGACACTGAATTATAGCATTAGTGTTTTTTCTAAATTACATTTGACTAATACTGCTGACAGCCCTCAGATTTTTACATAACTCAGTGTCTTGTGTTTTAAGTAAGTGAAAATTCATGAGAATTTCTCTGATACTTAACATTAASAGCCTTTTGGGCCAGCCCTCCATGAACAGAGCAGGTTCAGCACCTGCACTGCTCAGCTGAGCCCTGTGTGTCTGCTTGATGGACCTTTCAATTTCTAAAGTATCGATTCCAGATTTAATTGAGGTTGAAACCTCAGCTATTCTGTGAGTCATTTTACCAGCAAAGAACAACAGCAGGGTTTGTGTTAAGCTTGGTCACAATTGTATCTGTGTGTGGTGCTGTCACAACAGTATATTCAGGAAAAGCTGGGTGTATTTTATAAAATAAGCAGGCCTTCCTCCCCTCTCCCTCCCAGGTCTGTAACATCRTTGGGTTTTTTTATTTGTTTTTCTAAATGCAGTCTAAAACAGTGATAGTCTCCTAATGAAACAAAAACTGAAATGAAGTCTGAGAACAGAACTGCTGAAGCTGAAGGGCTGCTTTTTAGCTGTGATCCAGGGTAGGGCGTATAATTATTTAAGTTTGAGAAGCAGTCCTAAAAAAAGCACAGGCACRTAAGACATCTTCTTACTTCTCCCTGTTCATCCCATCTTACCTTTTCTGTGGTTTCTTTGTCCCTGACTTCAAATGTTTTTTTTCTTGGGAAATTTGCTAAGCCATTGTATCACTGTAAAATTAAAGAGATTAGTGCTGGTTTATTGGAAGACAGTGCATTTAAAAAAAAAAAACAAACTGTCATAAAATAAGAATTAGACTAGTAACAAGCACTGGACTAAGAAGCTTCATCCCCAGCTCTTTKTATGCTTTTTTTCCCCTAGCCTTTTGCAGCTCTTTCATTTTTTATATAGCACATTGCAGTGTGTAACACTATACCTCAATGTACCTTTTGTGCTCTTAACTGCAAGTATTTTTTTCTAAATGATCTGAAAGTTACCTTTATAAAGAGAATTATGTCCCTTCTGTTATCACCTGAGGAGGATCAGAGGATCTGGAATTTAGAATATGAGATCTGGTGCCTACTTTGTTAACTGAGCAGAGCTTTTGTTAGGCAGTTATGTTTTTGAAAGGAGCTGCCCAATAACTCAGGAGATGTATGCCTTTACTCCTTTTTTTTTTTTTTTTTNTTTTTTTTTTTTTTTTTTTTTTGATGTCTTAATACATCTTACAATATTTGCATTTTTTTACCATTCTTTTTTCCCCCTTAGTGGTTGCTTCAATGATTCTGAATATTTATTTATTTCAAGATTTTGGGTGAGGGTAACAGTACTGAATTATGGTTCATTTTGAAATGTGTTTGATTGTTTTCACCGTTTCACAATAACGGGAGGATTATCATCTAGACACATTATGCTCCAAATATAGAACGTGTAAACAAGTCATCATTTATAAAGAACAATCCTTCTTTGTTCTTTCAAACTATTTTTACTATGTGGTAGATAATTGAAGGAGTCGAAAAAATCCATATACCAAATCTAAAGGTGATTGCCTATTTAACAGGAAGACTTCAGGAAGTCATTTCAAATGTGACTGAAAGGTAAGAGAGAAAAGTATTAATGATGAATCATTCAAATGAAAACAAATACATAGGAGCCCTGTTATAGAATGAGGCGTTTGTATGATTATCTGAGAGAAAGATTTTAGAATCTTTCTGCTAGAATCAAAATACTGCTTAAAAACAGAAGCATGAAAACCTGATAGCAAGAAAGGGCAATTAACATTATATCATCCATCACTACATAAAAGAACAGTGTCGTACTTGTTACAGTTTGCAGTCATTTCACATTTTTACTAATGCATAAATGCACGTCTGTCTTGTGAAGAACTTCTCTTACGCATCTAGCAAAGTTCATCTGTAATGAAGTTCCTTTGTAATGAAATTAAAGATGCAGTTATAGGAATGGGTAGCTAAGTGACTTTTCCATCAATATTTTTCCAGATAATTTCTGATACCTTGTTTTGCCACATCTGTTTCTCTTTCTATGGTGCAGGTTGGAAAAAACGTTCAAAYCATAGACAGGAAATGTAGCTTTTAAATTAAACATTTAGTATGGGCAATCATCCCTTCTCCTTGTGCTGCAGATATAGGTGTTTGTGGATGATTCTGCTTCACACTGAACTACCTAAGATTGATTTGGTGGGCTCAGGAGGAAGGGACACAGCAATGGCCCTTTATCTTGTGTGGAAGTGCTCACGCCTTTACATGGAAGTCAGACATTAACCCAAGCAACTGTAGCTATGCAAAACAATTTAATTTCCACTCAAAGTAAAGTACTGTTTTATCAGTTTGGTCTGAAGGACGCCAGGTTCAGATGACCGTGCAAATGTGCAGTGACTAGTGCTCAGAGGAGCTAGAGAGATGTGTGGATGGAGCAAAGGGATATAAAGGGTTTGTTTTATTGTAATGGGAAGAGAAGGGAAGGATGCTGCTACGGAGCAGAAGAGCATTACCTCTCTGCAAGGGGTCTTAGCTTTTAGCAATTAACTGGCCTGTTTTCCACCAGTAATTGTGGCCTTACAGAAGAAGCTGTCCTTCCTGTCAGCGCTATTTGGACAGAAGTTAGTAAATCAAAAGGCAGTAAAATTAAAAGTGAGTGGTTTGGGTGCTGTGTCATGGGAAGCTTTGTCCCTCGAGCCACAGCCTAACAGCAGAAAGCAAGCAAAGCTCTGTTTTCTTGGATTTGGGAATAACTGCCAGTCAATTGCTTTTCAGGAAAAGTAATTTAAGTAACTTCCTCCAGTGATGTCGTTCTTTAAAATGCTTCCTGTGATCAAAATAATGAAATAACGGCTGAGTCATTAAAGCTTTAAACTTTGGCAAAACCAATGACTTGTTTGGAAAATATGTGAACTTTAGGCCAGTTTCCTGAGGGAATATGAGGTCTAACAGCCCACCCTGGGGTCAGGGAAACACTTAGGACCTGTCACACCTGCAACACGTGGCAAGGAGGGAAAAGGGAGCGTTTTAGTAGTACAGGTCAGTGTTGGGATGGCTCAAATATCGTACTGAGATTAAAAAAGGAGAGAGGAGTTCTTGTTAATTTTTCCTTTAGGAGGAATGGGGGATATAGACATAAAACAAAAGCAACCAGTGAGCATTAAACAGTTCCGACACAGCACTGTATACCCTCAAACCAGTAGGTGAGGCTGTTTCCCATTTTATATTTTGCACTCTAGACCTGTAACTCTGTATGTGTAGTAGACAAAATATTTTATTCCCAAGTTAGGTCCTTACAAAAGAGCAGCTTAGCAGTTTTTGATTATTACCCTGCTGCTGCTTCAGACACATCCAGAGGTAACAGGGGTCAAGCAGTTAAGTGAACAGCATTCCACTTCCTTCCCTTTGCAATATGGTGCTTGGTGGGAAAGTGGGAATACGGTAGTCTGCTTCGTTAACCAAAAATATATCTATCTTTTAATCAGTACTTCTGAGATTTACCTCTCTCTGCGGTATTGACAGATTTGTTGTGTAAAACATAGTGCTCCTGGATTCTGAAGAAAAAATCACAATTTTCCTACAGTTTGCCTCTTACTTTCTTGTTTTGATGAGGTTATCTCCTCTTTCCATGTACTTGTTTCTACCTAAAAGACACATATTATCAGTTAAGTGTTTTTGTTCTGTCTATTGCTCTTGTTTTGTGTTGGGTAGCAGGATCACTCTAGCTGATTTTACAATACATTACTAGTAAGTACAAATATATACTTCCCTTTTCATTGATCTYGCTAATTTAATTGTAATGAAATGTCTAGCTCCAGATCTGGTTTTGCAAATATCTTTTGTGTGCTGGTTGTGTTCCCATTCCTTCTTACTGATAACTGGAGGACTTGTGACCCTACTATGACTCATACTGTTTTGCTGATTCAACTAAAAACTAAACACATGTAAAAAATATAGATATTATCATTCAGGTGAATAACCTRCTATAATTTGCCATATGAGTGTAAATGTGCTAAGGACAATGCAAGACACGGGACAGGAATATATGGCCAGATTTGAAAAGGGGAACAGGAGTGGTGTTTTACCCATAGGAGATGAGAAATAATCTGATAAGGTTCCAAGGCTTTTCACAGAATTACATTGACAAATAACAGTTAAGCTTTAAAAAAAACATGTATTGTCTTTCCTACTTAAAGATGGCCACAGTGGGCTTGTGTCAGAAAGAGAAATCTGTTTTAAGATGTCCTCTGCTTTAACCATTAACTGGTCAAATGACTAAACATGAGATTAGATATGTTTGTGGTAGCAGACAATAAGGTATTTTCCCAAGGGTAGAGGTGTTGCAAGAGGGTGTGTTTGATCGTAAGCTGGTAGTACAACATGAACCTCTGCAATAGGAAATGCAAAAAGCAGCTAAAGTCGACCTTCAGTGACTTCTGAGCAGGCTGTTGAGGCTGCTCTGGTCATTTGCTGTCATCTCTTTCAGTAAAACGTATTCTCCTTCCTTGCCTTCGTTAAATGCTGTGAGAATGGGCTTTCAGGTGGTGCTGAAGATGCTGGTGGGTCTTTTCTTGCTCTGATTTCATGCTCTGTCCAAGCTTTTTGGGATTTTGTCACCAAGTTCTGTTTCTCTGACCTCTTATTCAGATCTTTTCCCATTTATTTTCCCTTGCTGCACTCCAAAATTCACCACAGTGAGAGCTGAGCAACAATTAGTTATGTCTTTACCTCMGTATATGTTCAGGATTCCTGGCCACAGAAAATGGCAGCTAATGATCTTATCTATGTGTAAAAAGAATTTGTCTTTCTTTGTAGTTCTTGGGAGTGACATGTGCTGTGCGGAGCAGCGGATATTTACATTCTGTATCGGTAACTTAATTTCCTCCCTCCTCACACTGTTTAATCAYAACTGTGGTTATTGATGGCAGATTAACTTTATGCAAGCTCTTGTCAGTTAAAACATCTATGCGGTCTTAGCTCCACTGGCCTTAATTCAGGTTTTTCGTGCTGCCCCCAGCCCTGTTCTTTGGACAGTGTATTTTTAACAGCGTTCGTGTAATGAACATATTCTTTTTTTATTTATTTACGCGTTTATTTTTTCCGGCCCGCAGCGCGGTGCGGCGGCGCTGCCGACTCCTCTGCGCCGCCTCAGCGGGGAGCGCCCGGCTGGGAGGAGCCGCCGCCCCTTCCCGCCCGCCTCTGCCCCCGTCAACGATGGCGCCGCGAGGCGCTGCCCGCCTCTAAGATGGCGGCGAGGCGCGCGCGCACCGCGCCGGGCCGGCGCCCTGCGACCTGGCGGCGGGCGGGACTTCCTGCGGCGCGGCGCGGGGCGGGCGCGGCGCCGGTGGCGGAGGCGCGGGCGGCGGCGGCACCGTCCCCACGGGGCGGGCCGGGCCGGGCATGGAAGTGGAGAAGATGGATGAGAATGAATGGAAGTACCACGGGGAGGGCAACCAGAGCCTCGTCGTCGCGCATTGCCAGGTGGGCGGCGGGCGGTAACGGCCGCTAACGGCCGCGCGCGAGCGCTCCCCCTTCGCGCTCCCCTCAGCGGCGCGCGGAGGCCGCGCCCGCCTCGCCACGGGCCTGAGCGCGGGCCCGGCCCGGAGCTTCATTCACCTCCTTTTCCCTTCCACTTTATCCACATTGGGAGTTTTACCGTTTTCTCTTTTTTTCCTTTTTTTCTTCTTTTTTTTTTTTTTTTTTTTTTTCTTAAGGGGTCAGCAGATACATTTTGCTCTTCCCGTGGAAGAGGTTTGACGGGAGCTTTGCCCCGTCGCAACCCCCGCCTTGTCGGGGGCGCCTCTGGGGAGGGAGCTGCCGGGGGAAGCTCGAAACGGGCCCGTTTCCATCCCAGCGCGTGCAAGTGCGCCAGGCCGGGAAGACTTACGGAATGGGRTGGGAGGGATTTTCCTTGTGCCCCTGGCTCTTGCTCCTGGAAAGCGTGAACGGTGGCTGGGACCGCAGGGCCTGGTGTCAGTCTGTGGATCTCAGTGCGAACAAGCAAGTCACTTCACCTCTGTGCTTCCATTTGCCACCTGTAAAGAAATATCAGAATAGGTAAAATGTGTTGGTTCAGGTGACCAGCAAATACTAAATTATTGCAAGCAGATTCCCTGTCCTTTCAAAGCTTTTGTTTTGAGACCGCTGTCACTATGTTTCTGCCCCTCGTGTGTGCATATTATGTATCCAGTACAKGGGGTTCTGAATTTCGATGTGTCATTTGGAGAAGTTTATTTGTTTTTTTGAAGAAGACTTTGGGCTATATTTTTTTTCTTATGTTTGCATTCTAATTCAATATGGATTTGCTAGTTTTTTTTTTTTTTTCCCAAAATGTGTTCAATATTTGATAGATGTGTTCAATAAACTATCCAAATGACAGTTTGAAATAACAGCATACAAACTTTTATATGCAAAGACTACAGTGTGAGTTGAATCTTAATCTGAGTTTTTTTTTCAAATGTTTTCCTGAGTATTAGATTTTTCTGGCTTCTATTTTCTACATTATGAGTGTAAGCTGGGTGTAAAAAATGCAAACAAATGTCAGGTCTGAGAAAGTGCTGGAAGTCTTTGCTCTTCTTTGGGAGGAGCACTTCTGTGGCGCATGTTTATTTCCCCTCTTTCTTTATACCAAATTGAAAAAAAAGAAAGGCATTGATGCTACAAGAGTGAATAATTTTGTTTCCTATCTAAATTTTAGCTTTCTGAAAATGAATTGAAAAAGGCAGTTCAAAAAATGTTCAGTCACGGTGTGATAGAAGTCAGAATATGTAATGGATTTGTAACAGTGTGATTACATTGACTTTAAAGATATGGAAAGTAAGAAAGTCTGCCAGAAATTTAGAATAGTTGCTGAGTATGTTTGGACTTTTTTTTTTAATAAGATGCTTAAACTTCAAGATACAGTGAAAGTAAACTAGATAGGATTTTTTTTCCCTGTRTATAGAGTATTAAGTCAATAAAAGCTTACCGTATAGACCTTTGTGTTTACTAATAATGAAATATTTTAAAATTGCAGCCCATGAAATGCTGTTTAGATGCTAACTTTTACTTTGTTCCTTTTATAAACAGGACATGCTTGCATGATTAATCATCATTCTTGTGATCTGGTGTCAGGCATTCTCAGGTTTGTGAGAACAGATTAGCAGCATACCCAAGATGATGAATTTCATTTTACTGCTTTGCTTCATACTTCATTCCCTAAGTTTATGATTTTGTGTATAAAAGCTAGTGGGAGGGATTTCAATTTGGCTGTGGCCAAGGGGACGCGGATGGATGCTCAGATGTCGGTGCTGCACTTGAAAGCAAGAGGCCAGTGTGGAACAATGTCCAAGAATGCTTGTTACCTCTGGGTTGTCGTTCTCATTATTCGGGGATGTGGGGAGGGCAGTGGTCCCTACCTCTGTGTCTGACCTCTCTTCCTGGACTCTTCCATGTGATCCAGATCTCTATGTCCTATGTGAACCAAGTTCTAAGGAGTCTGGCTTCAGCTCATCTCTTCTTGAGCCCACTTTGGAGCGCTGGGAACAGATACTGTGCACGACTGTGCGTCAAACATGCAGTGTTTGGTTTGGGGCGAGTTGGCAGGTTGGATACAGGGCTCTTGTTCCTGGTTGTGCAGAGGTGTGGCCAGAGCTGGGGATGAAGAGAGGGGYGAGATGTGCATCAGTTCATGCTGCGCTGATCGGTGTAAGGCTGTGTTTGTCTTGGCTTCTTCTATTCTCTTTTATTTTTTTTTCATTTAAGATGCAAACATAACGCATTGTTAATCCAGAGCTAGGACAGTACCAAAGGTAACGCCTGAAAACTTGTTTGTGGAAAAGTGACGCGCGTGAGAAGCAGCCAGTGATGAGCTGATAAGCCCAAGATGAAAACAGTGCCCAAGTGTTTGTTCTAATGCCTTTGGACGGTGGCACATAGACAAAGATTTATGCCTGATGGTCATCCACTGGCACCATCTTTCTGTGGAACATGCTCGCTTGTTCAGGTATGTTACAAACTACTGCCCAATGTGCTGTTTGCACTTACCACTTATTAACCCTCCAGAATGCAGTAATGACAAAATTATCCCTGCACTCCTGCCCTCCTACAACCTGTGGAATGCAATACCAAAATGAAGCATCTGAAATCACTGCAAGAGCATCTCTGTTCCTTATTCATGCAGTTAAAAAGAGAAGATGTAGGCAGGGCATGGTCTAGTCAGCGTGTCTCTCTTCACAGTGACAGCTTTACAGAGTTGCTCTAATTAGTTCTCCAGCATTTAGAAAGTGATCTGATGAATAAAGATGGAATGCCTGAAAGAATTCCCAGTTACTGTTGTCATCCACAGAGTTGCACACTTGCTTCATGCACTCTCTAACTTCTGCTTTCATGGCTTTTTAAAGTTTTAAGTTCTGATGAATCTAGAATTCTGGAAGACAGTCTCTGTTGTGGGCCGAGTTTCTCTGCTAAAGCTTTTGCTGGTGGTTTTTGCTGCCGCTGTGGTTGAACTAATCCAGACTGAACCGAACTGTGGTCAAACAACCTTTGTATAATCTTGCAGCCTATGAAATGCCATTCCTAACAAATAAGCCCAACTTTTATACCTTGTTGCTTTCAATGAGGGATGTAAATGGTAGCTCTGTTTTGGGTTCTGAAAGCAGTACTTGAGGCGTTGATTCCAAAAGATTGCTCTGAAGAACGCATGGATTGGCCTAACTGCTAGTTCATTTGACAGCTGTGTGATCCATGTCCATACGGMCCCTTGTCTGTTTTCTACAATTGATTAAAGTTTAATATCCTCTTTGAAGAGCTGAATTGCCATATTTCATCAAACAGGGACTCCTCTGGGCTGCTTGTTCTGGTTACTGTCTCAGGAATGCATAAGGTGCTGATTGCATTAAAGCAAAACTATCACATACTGGCAGGTTAGAAAGGATGCTTCATGCTCYCTATGTTTTTATTGGAGCCTTGTTTTCATCTTTATCGAATTTGGTTTCTAATTTTAGAAAGTGGCCCAAAATATTGCTTCTCCTCTGTGCCCTGTGCTTGRGCAGTGGTGAGGCTTGAGGAACCATCTAGAATGGTCACCATCTTGTGAGCTCTTGACCTTTTCTAAGGTAGAGGTATCCAGTTTTACAGATATGATCAGCAAATTCTCKTTTTCTCTAGTTCTTCATTTTAATCAGTTGTTTACTATTACAGAGACACTAACATTTCATTTCTTAAAGGTTTCAGGAAGTTGTTGTTCCTTATAAAGTAGTGTGTAAGTAGCTCTAGAAATAATGACTTGTATTTCCTTTTGTTGCTGAAACACGCTTGAAAGCCCTGGATTTTGCTTCACTAGATTAAGTGAAGCGTTTTAGATGAAGATGTATGTTCTTTCTCTGTTTCACTGCAGTTAGTTTGTATTAAATTTTAATCCTTGCATATCAAGGTGACTGCTAAGTTTGTGTTTGAGTGACTATGTGGATTTTCTTTATTCAGTCAAATTGTCTAGAGAAAACTCGGTGTTTGTGAAACGTCATGGCTTGGATCTTGATCATTGTTTTGTAATATACTGTTCTTGGCCTAAGAGAGTTTGCAGCTCTGACAGATATCTTTAGTGGGACACTAAATTGGTGTGGGGACACAATTTGTTGGAAGTGTGTAAATCATTGCCAGAGTGCATGTGAGCTTGCTAAATAGAGAGGGGGGAGAGGGTGGATGGAGGAGGTAAATGAAGCTGAGGCAAGAGGGCTGAGGAGGGAGGTGAGTGCAACAACTTCCCAAAGTCGTTGCTTGTAGTAGCTGCGTAATGTCTGGCTCTTCTCTGTTTTCCCGCCAGGACAGATGGTGAAGATGGAGGGTGTCTATCAGTGCTACCAGTGCTGCTTTCACAGGCGTCCTTCCCAATCCCTTTTCTGAACTGTAGAGGACTGTAGAGATTTGAGGTGTGCAAAGGGAGAAGAGTATCTTGCATTTTTAATGTTGGTCATTGGTTTCGCTGCAGTGGCAGTAACTGCAGCTGCTCCTGCTGACAGTTGCATTTTGATAGCTGCCTAGTGCTTGCAGAAAGACCTGCTCGTTATGGGGGAGATGAGCCTGGTTTCATATTGCTTATGAATTCTGCAGGAGGTGCCTTGTGGCATATCAGACTTGATAATTGTTTATAACACTGCTTTCAAAGTATGAAGCAGCTCCTCCCTTTCCTTTTTTTTTGTTTTGATTAACACAGTCTTACTGGTAAATTTGACATTTTACACAGTAAACTTACATTGAGAAGGTTATTATTGGTGTCAGGGCCACGGACAAGACTGTTTGCTTAGACAAGTGGGGGATTTTTGCTCTCGGAGCAAAAAGCTTATGGTTAGAATTACTAGCCAGCTGCAGCTTTGCTTTTCAGTCCTTTCTGACAAATAGAGAGCAGTGCTGCTCACTGACTGCTGTCTTGCAGAGTGAATCTTCTTGAGGTGCTTTTTGTGGTGGTCCCATTTTGTACAAGTTCAAGAACCTGAGTGTCCTGT